ATAGCAATCAAACATCTGTGGATCTTCTTCTTCTTCCTCCTCTTCAAGGATGATGTCGAAGCTGGCGATTCTCTTGGCAATGTCAATAATTGCCGCATCAGATATTGGAAAAATTCAAGATCCTTTCCAATCTCTAAATTCACTAGAGAATCCGAAACAGCTAGTTCTTTACTATCGTCAAGATAAAGGTCATGCAATGGCAGAAGTCACGTTTAGTTATTCATTGGGTGTTCCAAAAATAGAAGATTGCAATCTTTACGGTGACAAGTAAGTAGAGTTATTGTGATATGTGTTTCTTCGTTTTCTTCCCAATTTACTAAAATTGTGTATCGCTGAATTATGCAGCTCGCTGCTTTGTAGTATGGATTTCTTTATTGCGCCGCTTATATTTATGGTTTAATCCTAATTTCTAGGCCCTACGTTAGAAAATTTTCAGGAAGTTTTCTTTTTTAAAGAGCTTAAATGTCTGTGGATCGACTTTCTTGAGAGTGATATAATATGCAAAGCGATTTTCTGCGCCATTGTACACCATTATCGCCAATGATTGTGTGACATCGCTTCGCACTTTTAAAGAAATGGGCGATAATAATAATATTTTCTTTAATATCTCACGTAAATAATTTTTGTATTATTTTAATAGAAATAACAATTGTGAGGCGACAAACTTTGGCTCTGTCCGTTTGCTTAGTCTGATGACGTCAATTTGACGTTTTCTCTTCAGTTTTACAATAAAAAAATTGTAAAGAATGACGTGAGATTTATGTAAAAAGCGCAAAATAACTCAATCAATCGAACATACCTTCGATTTTCTCAAGTTAATCGACTAAATATCTTTTCTTTCAGCAATTTAATCGATTATGCCCTACAAGATGTACATGAAAATAGAATATTTCACGTGGATAAAGAAGAAATGTCGATGATCATCCAGAATTGCACCGAATACACGTTGAAAAAAATTCAATACAGCGACGACGGATCATCAAAAGGATCAAAGATTAAGAAAATCTTTTCAAACGGCCTTCTGATATACCCTGGTAAACGGAACATTAAAAGAAACAAGATTTTCTTGTGTTATTAACTAAATTATTATTTTTTTCAGGAACTAAATGGTGTGGTCCCGGAGACGTAGCCGAAAATTACAACGATCTGGGAGTAGAAAAGGAAGCTGACAAATGCTGCAGAGATCACGATCATTGCAACGATACAATTCACGCTTACAACTGGAAATATGGTTTGTGGAATGCGGCCATTTTTACCAAGTAAACGACCTTTCGGCGCTCTTATAATTTAATAAGTTTACAAAAATCTAATTTTCGACTTTTTTTCCTCTCCCCTCGCTCCTGTTCCTCCTCCTCTTCAGAAGCCATTGCGATTGCGACTACGAATTTTCACGATGCCTTCATTCTGCCAATACTTTCGCTTCTAATCAGGTTGGAATGGTGTATTTTAATGCATTACAAGTGCAATGTTTCAAGAAAGATTACCCAATTGTAAATTGTAAACATTATAAAGGGTGAGTAACACTACCAAAGCGTTGATTTTTCACTTGTTTTTTCTTAATTTAAAAATATTTTAAAAATTAATCCTAGTTTTTTAACACAATAATTATCAAAAATATCTTAAAATTTATTTTTTCCTTAAAAAATATTAATTTTATTTTATAAAGTATCGCCATTGAATTAATTTAATCATTAGTTTTTATCTATAGTTCGCGTCGCGTCGCTTACACGCACGCGACACGACGTCGAGAAAATTACGATTAGTTACAACATATTGATAATGTACAAGATAATTAGAACAAGATAATGGATAAATTAATAATCGAGTTAACAATGTGTCAACATTTCAAATAAAATTACAGTTCATTGATAATAAACTGTCCAAAATGATTACACGTTACACATTTCACTTCAATTCCTTTCGGATCTCGTCTTAAATTTTTTTTTCTTTTTGGTTTTTTTTTATTTCTTAGAATGAAAGAATTTATCACTTTTAATGATTCCAAAAATTTAATAATTATTTCCCCCCCAATAAAAATAAAAGCAACACGTGTATTAGGATAAGAAAAATTAAGCCGAACATNGAAAAAATACAAATTGAATTTTATTAATGTACTTTTTTTGCTCAGATATTCATAAATACAGCGCAATAAAATTTGAGACGTTGGTACATGACAATTTGGAGAATTAGCATATAATTTAACATAAAAAATAATAATAATTTAATTTTTAATTAAAATTAACATTTAGTGAATTAAAATTAAGCTAATGGTAATTAAAATAACTAAAAAAATAGAATAAAAATTAATTTTTAATGTTCAGCCTCATGACTCTCTCTCTTCTCGCCTCACTGGAAAGACTATTAATAAATGCATTTCAATAGAAAATTAATCTTTTAAAATTAAATTCTATTGATGATGATGTTAATGATGATTAAACTAATTTAAAATCCACATAAAAAGTAGATTTTTGCATTTATCCGCATCCCTGATCCTCCTTCGCTCTTCCTCATCCCGATCATTAGCATCAATTATAGATAAATGCATTTCTAAAGGAAATTAACTCGGAAAATAAATTCACACGATAAATTCTTCCTAGCAAATAAAGGAAATAAATTATTTTTATTTTATACATTTTAATTATGTCGAAATTAAGGAAAAATTAAGAAAATTTCTTATAATTTATATATATATATATATACACATATATGTGACTTTAATCATCTCTTCCTTGTATAAAAGATAAAAAATTGTATTCTAAAATTTTATTTATATATGTATATAAAAAATATAAAATAAAATAAATAAAAATACTCTCACTAAAAGTAAATAGAATTTTTCTGTTCCATTTCTAAACCATAAATACTTTTAACTTTAAGATAAAATAAAAAAAAGGGGGAGGGAGGGAGAAAAAAAAATTCCATTTTCTCTTAGAAAAATATTTTAAAAAACAAAAAAATAATATAAACTCCATCCAGAAAAAATTCATTGTAAATTTTATAAGAGAATAAAATAAAAAAAATATATAATAATTTCCTTATAAAATATAATCATTGAAACATGAAAATCTAAAATTATTCTTTCAACATTTACAAGTTTCACTAATAAATAATTAAGTTACAATTTAGAAAATGGAAAAAAACTGGTTTATTTCTTTCCCTTTTTTTTCATTCCGACTTGAGTTATTGAATTTATTATAATGCAATTAATTAAAACTACATCCTAATTAGTTTTCTTGTGCAACAGTTATTAAGTGAAATCATTTAGAATTTTTTTCTTAATTTTTATTATCTGTTTCTTAATTATTTCCAAAGATGGATTAAGTCTCGGACAAGGAACCGTCTGTCTTCTTTATAAATAATAATACAGAATTAAACCGAGAGGGATGCTTCTTTCTGTAGAATTTAACGGGCCAACTTAATTACAAATTGTCATTTCTGAAAAAATGTAGTGTCGAGCTTCTTCGGATTGTAATTTCGGCGGAGAGGAGGTTTTTTTCTGTGAAATTTTCCTCGAAACTAGGAAAATTTACCTATAAAACTTTCAATTTTATCAATAATTGGCCGGCAAACAATTAGATTTTTATTTTTAGACTTGCAAAGGAAAGTTTCCTGGACTTATCAATTAATTGGGTCGGTGACTGTCGGAAAGTATTTAACTCTTAAATACCGAAACAATTTAATTATTTTCCTTGTTTAAAAGTAAAAATTTTAAAAATTTACTCGGGAAATTGTTAATTAATTATTATATAATTTAATTTTAAATGAAGTTTTATAACTGTAATCGTAATGGCAAATTATAAATTTTATAAGCTGACAGTTTAATGATAAGGTAGCGATGATAAATAGGGATAATCGAATGACGTTCCCGTATAATTTAACGACGGACAAACCAATCGTCTTTAAGGTTACACTTTTACTTTTTGAGATTTTTAATTAATTAACCTCATTGCCGGCAGAGATCAAACTTAAGTTATTGCCTATTGTTAAGGGTCATATTTGGGCAGAAGAAAGTCATTTTCTATAATTGTTTGCCTCGAAAATTATTATATTAAGTTAGGAAAATGTTTTATTCAGTTTTATATTCATAAAAGTATAATTTTGGAAAAATAATTTGTTAAAAAGTGTGAGGTTAGCATACATATAGTTGTGGCCAGGGCCTGGGTGAACCGAGGTTAAAAAGAAATTCACTTTATACAGAAAAATTGGATTTATTCAAGAAAAATTTCGTGTTTAAAACAAAATTCACACTCTAAATATTTGGAATTTTGCTAAAAAGTATGCATAAATCTATAAAATTTTCATACAAAATTGATAAATGGGTAAATTAACTTACCATTCCCAGCAGTACATTTTAATGTATAATACACAGAAATTCTTATAAAATATCACAACTTTTATTATAAATTTAATAAATTGAGCCTATTTAATTATATAAGAAGAATTTTCTTTATCATTTATTTTTAAATATATTATAAAAATGACTTTTACATCGTATAAAGAGTGCCCCAAAAGTCAGTCTACCGAATTGGTTGACATTCTTAATATATCAGTTAACTGATATTTGAGCCATCCTATATAACTCTACATAAACATCCTCGCTTCTCGACCCGACCGACATTTCTGTTTGGAAGTTTTTTACGTCCGATTCCTAACTAATAATTAAAGACAAGAAAGCAAATCCTCCATTCTGTCCTCGTTAACAAATTAAATTCTCTGTCCTCGTTAGCAATTTAAAGTATCTGTTCTAACGGTCAAGGGGAGACAACGCTTAGTCAGTAGCCGAAGAATATAACTGTATATAAGTGTACTTTGTGTGTATATTTGTGTTAGTGAACATTTTTGGTATATTTAACATATATATAATGTAAATAGAATATAAACTAATCCTGTAACCGGAAATACAAGAATATTTTTAAATATTACTCTTTAATTCCTAGAATAACTTGAAATAAAACCAATAAAGACACTAATTAAGCTAAAAAACATTTTAAAAAACACACATAAACACACGAATCACGCACGTGTAGCGTACCGGAAGTAGTACGATGACGTCGACATTCCGGGGCAGCTTTCACTGGAAGTGCAGCGATCGGGTTGCGCATGCTCGTGCAAACACGTGTGAGCGGTTAGCTGTATGACATAGAAATTGTTCGCACACAAACTACACCAATAGATGTGTTTGGTTGATAAAGGTTCGATATGTGGTGTTTTAAAGGTAAGTCAAAGACACTTTTGCATTATTACAGCTCCCCCGTTAACAATAAACCGTTAATTTTCTCATATATGACGTCACGTATGACGCGCCTCGTAAACAAATCGCCCTCTCTTTTTTAAAAGTTAAAATTAATTTTCGCTAATTTTTAAAGCTTTTTTTTTATATTTTAAATATAAATTTTGCTTAAAACTGTTTTAAAAACTCGTTAAAAATACAAAAAAAATTGTTTTTTTTTGCTTGTTTTTTTTAATTTTAAAAAAAAATGTATAATTTGCTCTGTATCAGTCTAAAAATTCATTTAATTGCAAATTAATACATTTTTGGAACTGCTAGTAATTTTTTAATAGAAAAAAATACCTCCAAAAAAGTAATTTTTTCCTTTAAAAGTTCAAAAAATCCTTCTAAAAACTATTCAAAATCACACAATCTATTCACATTTTACCTAAATTTTTTTTATAATTTATAAAAAAAATTTTTTTATGTAGAAAAATTAGGGTTTAACTTACAAATCCTTAGAAAATTTCATAAAAAAAACAAAGAAAAATGCAAAAAAAACTTTTTAAAAACTTCCAATTTGTGAACAAATGTCAAGTTTTGTCACTTTCCAACACACAAGTTTAGATAATCTCAAACAATTGACCCATATTCTTCTATCAAGGGCAAAACTTGATTTAGGGCAGCAATTGCGTCATCGACTGAGGGGTCATTAACATGATTTTGCCCCCTTGCAACCTCAAAAATATCCAGAAAATTTCTAAATGTGCACCCTTCACTTTTATGGCCTAGTATTTTTAATACTTAATTATAGGGTAAACATCCCTATCTCTTATCTACATATGTATAATTCAGGGTTTTTTTCTGGGATATTTAGGAAATTGTGTAAACCTCAACTATTTATAAATTTGTAAAGTAATACAAGAGTTGTTTACATGTTCCATTTGACCAGTAGGTCAGCTATTATTATTGTTTTTTTCTTAAGGAAGGGAATTTTTAATTAAAATATCTAACCGAGAAACGAGTTTTGAGGATATTGCTTCTTATTTTGCATACCTAATCCTGTTACCATTACTTCTAAGATGTGTTGTCATCTCCTGTAGCTCTCTCTCTCTTCTAATAAGATTCCTAGTAAGAGTTGTCACACTCTCTTAGCTCTTGTCTAAGAACAGTTATCTTGTTTTGTAGCTCACCCCTGAAAAGAATCTTTCTAAGAACAGTCGTGCTCCTTCGAAACTCTCTTCTAAGAACAGTTATGCTCTCTTGCAGCTCTCTCTTATCTTCTACTGCTGAAGATGCTGTGCTGCTTAACCTCCGCCATCATCAACAGGAGAATCGCCCGCTACAATTATCCGCAACCGCTCTTCTTCGTCCGTTTCGTCCGGTCCGACGTACCTTACGGGACGTGGCCCCTAATCCAATTAGTCAAAATCACCTGGATACCTAATGGAGAGTTATCAGTAAGATGTGAACTATCCCAAGAACAGTGAGTAATACATAAATAAAATATTTTAATACAAGACAATGATGTCAATTTACTGTCCCACTTATAAATGGCATAGTTTATAACTAGGAAATTCTTATAATTTTCTAGTTAAAGAGTTATATAATACACCAAAGAGAGAATTCCAGAATTTAATTAAAATATTTTAAAAATAATTCATTTTTATTTTAATTTTGAGTATCATTACTAAACAATGGATCTACATATATAAAGTATGAAAGTATCACTAAATTCTACACAAAATTTAACTTTCTAGTAGGTCAACTATGTCAAAGGAAAGAGAAAAACCATGCCGCTAGGAAAATGATTAGAAAAAAGTCATGTTAATGCCAGAAAAGATCATTGAAACTACAATCAAAAATTCACCTCTTGTAATAAAATTTACATTATAAATATTAAAATTGTTTTCCCACTTCCTCGAACACATTGTATTTTTGTGGCATTTCCCCTTCCACAAAAAAAAAGTTTTGTATAAAGACAGAGAAAAAAATGATTACGAATTAATTATTTAATTAATAAACTTTGAAAATTAGCATTTTATCCTTAAAATAGGCACCTTAAAATGTAAATTAAGTATAATTAAAAATAAAAAAGCAATTTGTTGACTTCAAATAGAGAATGGAGAATTCCGTTGATCCTCCATTCTGCACAAAACCCTAGTTTTTAGGATAAACAAATTGGATACAGGAAATATAATGAATAAATTATGATATATCCTGTATTTTTCGAGCTAAATTTGCAAATTAAACAATTTTGTTGATCAGGAAAGTAAAATCTAACTTTTGGCACGTCTCGACACCAAAATTTTTATACGAGGAGCTTAAAAAGTTTGTTTTAATCCTTAAAATAATTATCTTGGAGATAATTTAACCATAATTAAGCATAAAAAACCAATTTATCTGTACGAAATGCATTAATTTTTACTTAAATTACTTGATACATTGCCTGGCTTCATATGTGATTTAGCATCTCCAAAGCCAAATTTCAAAATTAAATTAATGAGAATGTAATTTTTAAGCGTGTAAAACATTTTTCTATAATTATATACCATTTTTTATTGTTGATTTATATTATATTTTAAATTTTCCTCAATAGAAAATAATCCTTTGTTGTGTAAAAGTCATATAAACAACTCATACATGACAAGTATAATATTACTTTAAAATCTAGGGCAACAATTTCCTTTATTACCCTAAATATTTTATTTAAAAAAATAAGATTACAAAAGAATGATTTAAAGCATTTAATTTAATTTTTTTCTAATTCAGACAATTGCTACTTCCAGGTTTTGAGCTTATTTTTTTAAATTTTGCATGATTTATTTAATAAAAAAAAATGTAATTTTAACATTTTCAGGAAACTTTGTATAATTTCCAGTCGAGGAAATACTATTTTTTGGTTTTAAAGGACTTAAAATAACGAGAATACCATTTAGATCAAAAGGGAAACTGTCGACTTTTCATTTTACCTTAACCCATTTTGTGCCGACTGTTCATAAATATAAAAAAATTTGAAACCAATGTGACATATCTTGTTGTTTCAATCAGCACCACATGTAATTTATTGTCTATATTAATGATTTTTATCACTTATCCTCATTTATTTCAGCCTGTGGAGGTTGTGCACAATTGTTTTCTTATAATTATGTAGAATAAAACTGCAGAATATTCCTCTATATTTAATTACAAACATATGTAATTAAATATACATAAAAATTTAAGAATTTAAAGCAGTATTTAGCTACAACAGTGTAAAATCCTTGTATGTATTTCTCATTGAAAAATGCTAGTCCGTCCTGTAATGACTTTGATTATAACTGATAAGCTGTAATTAGTGAGAGAGTAAATAGAATTTTCCTATAAGAGCAGAAATTTAACAGAATTGTATAATAAGCAAGTTGAATGAACTTTTAAGAATGCTTCTGTAGAAAAACAGATTTAATTTTCTACTTTGTTCTGAAAGATAATGAAGTTAATTATATATTAAAGATATTTATGTACAAAAATTTGTGTCTGATTCATCCTCGATACCATTAGTAAGAGCTCACTAACTCAAACAATGAATCAAAAATAATTGAAAGATACAAACTGACATATATTTGGTTGCATAATACTGCAAAGAATGTATTGAATAAATACTTTAATATTCCAATTAAAAAATATTTTGGTGACAGATTGGTTCTTACACTGCACGATCAAGTCAAAATCCAGATTTTAGTGTGTGACAATACACTTTGGGGAATTATAAGAGGAAAAAAAAAAGTCTCTACTGTTTGACACAACAGTTAGAGACTTAATTTTGTATTCTCTTCTCAAATTTCTGTACATTTTATTCAATAAACAAAAACATTAGGTTAATTACATTAGCACATCTGATAATTCTTCACTTGATACTCTTTTAATGATACATACAGAATAGTGTGTGCAATTTAATTGAGTCTATAGCCTAATTTAAATTCTAATTGTATGCATTTTAATAATAAAATAAGATTTTAATATTTGTTATCAGAAAAGAAGTTCATAATACTTTAAGGAATGTACCTCAAAATCGAGTGAAGGAAGTCGATGACTATCAGATGGAAGGCATCCTAAAGTTGTGTACGCAGGATCATCAATCTCAGCACCAAGTAATGTCAAGTTCTCAGCACAGGAGACCGGTTTTTATATGGCCTGGTAATTTACAGAACTACATATAATATAAATTAGCTAAATTATTGTTATTCCGTAATGAATTATTGTCAGGAACGAGATGGTGTGGAACCGGAAACGTTTCGTCGAGTTACGACGATCTGGGATGGTACCGAGAAGAAGACAAATGTTGTCGAGAACACGATCTGTGTGACGATATTCTTCAAGCGGGTGGCCGAAAGGAGGATCTCGAAAACGACTCTCAATATACGAGGTCAGTTATAATTTATTACAATATTCTCAGAACTTAATGAATCTATAATAAAATATTTCTAGTTTATACAAACACATCTTTATAAATTATGTTTAGATCAGATTTTCTAAGGATACTCTAATAAAATCAGGGAATTTTTGTGAACAATTAACTTTTGGAGTTTTCCAGAAACCATCTGCACCTTTATAAATATCACCTTCAAATTCATAAAACTAGGCTTGAATATTGCTATAAGCTCTTTTCCATTGTTATGTATTTCCAATGAAAGAGATCCACTAAGGACTTTACAAAAATCTGGGGTATATAAAATCTATTCAGAAATAAATACTACACATTATGCTTATGAACATAACACACAGTATTTTAACATGTAGTGCTTTAATTCTTTCTTAAAATGTACTGTACAAGCCCGAATTACATTACAAGAAAGAATTAAAAGAACCTAAGGGAGGTAAATCTAATAACAGGACAATAATAGAATTGCCTAAGTTAATAAAACAACAGAAAGCTATTCTTGTTAAACTTTTATTTTCTGTAATATTGGCTTAAGTAAACATTATGAATTTTTAATTGGGAATGAAAAATAAACAGGTAATAAAATAAATTTATCACCCAACAATTTCAACTTAATTTTAAACAGAAATTTAATCAATTAAAACAGTCTTTGCTGGTATTTGATTATTGGAAATAATATTTTTATGGGCAACTCCTATAGTTAAATGCTATAAGTTTTGTATAGTGTATTATAAACCCATAATGAGTTGCTTGTTTCTCTCTATACTTCCTTATAAAATTCTTAATAATTAGCATAATTTTTGAGAACAGATTATTATATATGGGGTATTAAAAAAAAAGCATTCAGCATTTATACTGTGGTAGTACATACTGTATTAAGTATATAGGTAAGTTGAAAATGCAATTGTTTCTGGAGTAAATAATCCAACAGAGACCAAGAATATTTCAAGAGAGTTTACAATCTCTAAGATGTGAAGTATGTGTGTGGAAATGGAAGGAAGACAAGCAAACTCCTGTAAATATTGAGATCAAGGTTTAACAAGATTATCCTCTCTTTTCATATTGCAAGAAACAGGTAGAAGGCAATAGTTTGGTCATGATCCTTGCATACATAATTAAATCCTTGATATAAAAGTTACAAAATACCTCCTGAAATACCAGTTTTTAATTTAAAATTTCCATTATAAATTGTAAAAAAAGGTAATGCTATAAATGCTTACATGTTTTTATTAATTTCAGGAAAAGACAGCACATGACACTTAAGAAAATATCATTTTATACATTTATAGCTGTATAATATTTGATAATCCTGATACAATAGACTATGTTTAATGATTGCATCTTTATATCTGGTGTAAATTTTAACTTACAACTATGTAAGTTACTGTATTTAAATGATCCATTAGCCACCTCATTACGATATTATATACTTAAAACTGTATTAAGTTATGATACCAAATTTATGGGAAGTAAGATGGCTCTCTTTACAATTTCCACAAAAACCAGCTATAAAAATAAGGACTTACTATATAGCCTTATTTCAAAATGAAAAAGCTTGAATTCTGGCTAATTTATAGCAAATTTTTAATTAATTAATCTGGCATTAAGTCTTATCTTTGGTTATATGATTCCAAGTTTGAAGCATTTAAAGATCTTTTGAGATGATAATTTTTTATTTTTATCTTTCAGATTAAACTGCGATTGTGACAACAAATTTTGGCACTGCTTAAGAAAGGTAAACACTTTAACATCAAATGCTATAGGTGATTTTTACTTTAACTTACTCAAAAACAAATGCTACAAAAAGGAACACCCCATTATAGGATGCATAACATGGCATTCAAAGTAAGTTTATTTTATAGATTTTGTTATCTAAATTCATAAATGTGTTTTATTTTATATTTAAATTCTTTTTTTACGTTTTAGATTGCTAAAAACTAGATGTCAAGAATATAAATTAGATTACACAAAACCTAAAAAGTGGCAATGGTTCGAAGCCAAGGTCTACTCGAAACCATAAATGCGATTCGCCGCTTGATTCTCGTAAACGAAACTAGTCATTTGTATATAAACTGTCTCATAACATTTAAAATAAAACTGATTTTTATACTTAAGATATAATTATTTTAAAAAAGAATAAACAAATTTAATAAATTAACAAATTCTATAAAATTAAATTTATTAAAGTATAAAATTTGCTTTATGTTAACATTACACATTCCAATTAAATAAAGTGTTCTACATAATGGATAACTTCAAATGCCACCTGAAAAAAAAAAACAAATGTTTTTAATTTTTTATAGTTTTTCTTAGGTTTATTATTAACAAAAAATTGACTCACCTCAATTAAAATTAATATAATAATCATTACTTCCAGCCTGACATGATGATTATCACTCAAGTGATGGCTAAGAAGTTCCATTAATTCCAAACAATGGCTTAACTTTTCATTCATTACCTACAACAGTAAAAATTCTGTCAAAAAGTTATTTGATATTATAAAGTAACAAAATGTTTCTTCAAAGTTTGTGAAATGTAATTTTATGAAATTAATATTCTTGTTTAAATTCAATTATTTACGTTGACAGTGACGAAACGTTTTGCTCGGTGGGCCAAATTGCACGTAAGTTGTCAATAAGAAGATCACAAACATTTTGTATATTCTATACATATAAATAGAAGACCTGTTTCTATCATTTATAAGTGATGTGTGAAACATGATTGCATATCGGATAAATGAGAGCTGCGGAAAAAATTTGGCCCAAGGTTCGTCATAATTTGGGACTATGACTTTTGAAACGCTGCATTATTTTATTGGCCATTTCATAGTATTACATAGTTTAAGCTATATTTTTAAAAATAAAATATTAATGTTTGAAACTGAATTTACAGAAAGTTAGTATTTTACTAGGCAATGATTTCAAAGAATCAATTATAACTTAAAACTAAAAATAAATTAAAAATTACATAAAACTGAAATTACTGTAATGAATCACTGATACAGAACTATGTTCTTACACGTGTTGAATTTTTCTTTGAATTCCTACTAATTCAATAATTTATTTGGACTTGTCTCTAATAAATATTTGATGTCAATCAAACATGGCCACAATATAAGTGGACCCTAAACTCATTACTTTTGAATACATTTGTGAGGAAAAGTGACACCTAAAGTTTCTCTGTTTATATATGAAAGTATTTCTACACAACTTCCATACCACAACTGTCCATCAGCATCCAACTTCACTTCTAATCTCGGGCAATTTGTTTTTCTTATTCTAGTATCAAGTGAATCCCTGTTCAGACCTTTGCCTTGTGCACATACTATTAAGCTATCACATAGGTCTAATAACAGTATTATAATTTCATAAAATTCACATAATAATCTACTTTTTATCTTTATTATTTGTAGTCTTTAATAACAATATTTTGACATACTATAAATCAGATTCTGTTCTAGAGTTGTCTATGCAAAAACTATCTTTGTTTCAGTGTCACTGGTTTTTAGATATTTAAAGTTGTGTATCCACATGAACAATTTCATTGAGATAAGCCAGCATAACGTCACTCAACTTCTGTAAAAATTGCCCTGCTGATATCCACTATATGCTTCATTTGTATATTATCTAGTGGAAATAAAAGAAATGAAAGATGAACGATGATGCATTCATATCCTGTTCTTTGAGATAATTCAAAAAAGAAAACAAAATGTAGATTTATTATGTTTATCATTTTTTTCATTGACTTATCTTATTTCATCATAACTTATATTATATAAGTTATTTAATTATTTAATATATGTTTTCCACCCTTTTATCAAAAGTTTCAGGAAACTGATTATTTATTATTTTCTCGTTGTCACGTCACCTATTGAGTCAGTTTGCAGAAAATGTCTATAAACTGTCCAACGACTTTTACTTATTGCCAACTGACAGTATCAAATTCATGTAATGAAAAAATGCATTTGGCTTGTGTATCTAAATTACACATTATGAGAGATTTCAACACTCATTTATTCAAGTCACGCATACACAGTGCCGAAAGCACTTAAATCGCATGGCAAAATCACTCATACAGATACCCGGAAATTAAATATTGATTTATTTATAAATTTAAAAATAACTCTGGAAATAAAAATTTTCAAGACCTTACAATCAATTTTTCAAGGATATATCCTTGAAAAATATCAAACAACATTGATTGGAAAGCCTTGAATTATATTAAAGTTATATTTACTTTCGTTCTCTTAGTTATGTTCAAGTAATTGCATATCTTATGATATAAATGTTCCAAGTGTTGCCGATCCCAGTAGAAATCGGGAGTGTCCAACAAATCTGAACTTAGATTGATGTGGTGCCTAAAATAACAAACATATACATTTATTTATTTATTTATTATTTATTTAAAATAAAAACTGTATTAATGCAAATTACAGTAGAGCGTCGTTTATCCGAATCAATTGGGGACTGGGGTTGTTCGGATAACTTATTTTTCAGATAACCAATTATGTACGAAAAAATATATTAACCTATCCCATGTTGAAATTTTTCTCCGTTGCGTGTCGCTTTGTGTTGAATTTTCGTCGATGTTAAGCCTAACGAAGACTATTGTATCGTTAAAAATTATTTTTTTATTTTGTACAAACAAAATAAATATATTGAAAAATATAAAAACAATAAAAAATTATACTTCAGAAGTTAATTTAGTATCAAAAACGTAAAATATTTNCTCAGAAAAACACCACACAAAAGTGCCAGAGCTGCCAGCTAAAACACACACACCAACAAAAAAAATATTGGAGTAGCCCAAGATATAGCCAAAGATTGCAGCGCCACAGCACTAGCGAAAATTTAAATTTGCCGACTGGAATTCTTTCGGATTACGGACTTTCGGATAAACGACGCTCTACTGTATATCATAATTAAAGCAGAAAAATTTTTTTAAATAAAAGTAGAGCATTGTATGCTTAATCTTACCATAAAAACTGGTTATAAAGACAAAGGGGCATTAAATAACTTAATTAATTTTATTATATTTAATAAAAATGAGTTTAGACAACTCTAAGTTTATAATAAAATAAACTTTCAAGCACTTTAAGGTATTAATTTGTATCAATATAAACATCTATTAGCCTATTTTTTAATTAATGTCAAACAATTCCAGATTACATCGAGCTATAATAATGCTATTATAAATAATTAAATGTCAAGTAATTTGCCTAGATGTAGATGTTAGGTGTCATCTTTTGATAAATTTAATAACAAAGTTAGGAGGTTCTGGAAGAAAGATTAGATAAAGGTCTGAGTAGCCTAACTGGCAACATGTCTTTATGCCAAGTGGGAGTTGCGGGTTTGAGTCCAACTCTGAGGTGATTTTCTTTCAGAACCTTATAAATTAATTATTAAATATTAATTTGATTATAATTATTAAATTTACAATCTGACAATCGTTCAGCATTAATTTGTAGCTTTTTCAAGCAAGAATGCTCATCTTTTAGTAACTCATTACAAGTAAGATATTCTGCTTCTAGCTATTATAACATCCTGGAAGATATTTGTCTTGTTTGAAAACAAAAATTTTATATAATTTTTTAAAGTTATTTTTCTCTATAAAATGATAATTTATTACTACTTTACACGAGTACTTAAATAAATATAAATTCATTATTTTGTGTCAAGCTAATGTAGATTTAATCTTGATCTTATGAACTGTACAAAGAGAAATGCAGATGTTGTCTTTCGTATTTACTTCTGACACAATAATCACTCTCTTATCATTATTAATATTATAATTAAATAATTAAATTCAAATATCATACAATTAAAATAGTTACAATGTAAATCTTCAAAAAAATCATTGAACAATTAAAATTTGCTGATACAACATCAAATGGTAGAGTTAATCGGGTAAGAGGAATAAATTTAATTTTCTAAAATCTATTTCTATTTTCTTTCTATGTTCCTTACAAACAAATCAGCCTTAGCAAAATATCAGTTTCATTTTAACGTTAGTATATAATCTCAACAAACAGAACTCTAATTAACAATGCTAATATAATTTTGAGAATCCAAGCATGTATTGTATTGAATCTGAAAATTTTTGTGAGTGGTTCAGCTTGAATATGAAATAAGGAAGAGAAACAATTAATATATACAGAGAATGCATAGTAAAATCTCCATACATCTACATAACTGACAAATGCAGATAGCTACAGTAATGAACATGATTTGTAGTTATATTAAAGTGACTATGTGCTATGAGACAAAATTGCTTTCTGTACCTCCAGCTGTAAAATTCGAAAATTAGTGTTCCCATCTGAAAACTGACGCACGATACGATAAAAGTCAACTATGGAATCATAGAGCTTTTGTACCAATTTGATACAAAAGGCACCCTGTGTACATGAATAGCATGAAATACTAATGTGCACATCGAACATACAGTAAAATACGTATTTCTCATGTGTTCTCATTTATTTATTTATAACATGTGAATTTCTTCTTTTCCTATGTCTTTGTATTGCATTCATTACTGTGTATGTTGTGTGTCACTCACATTTGTCAGTATATAAGGGCTTCATTATGCATCCTGTATATATATTATAGTAGAGAGAAAGTAAGTGAATATTATAATATGTAATATCACAGTGTGAATGAAAACGGGTGATTTTTATCAAACACAAACAGATTTTATTAAATTAATTGAATGTTTCCATGAAAATTTCATCCATTTAAATAGTTTTTTAAAAAATCGGTGTGGACTTTTCCTGTTAAACAAAATCCAACCAACAAAGTATCTGTTTGTAGCTCATTTATAGATATATTAAACTCTTTCTCTGTACTTATATGTAATTTTAACTTCAAAATTCTTGATAAAATCATTTATTTACTTCATTGTACTTATATACCAAAGCAAATGTAAACTACTTACGCAAACTTTAATTGCAATCATACCTCAAGGCATATAATTCTCCCGTCTTCCGAAACACTTGGTCTTTAGTAATATTAATTTTCTTTCCCAATCTCATGTTCTAAAAAATAATAATTAATATTAATATTGTATGCCAAGTTACAACTTTGACATAAACTGTATATCAATACAGTTTACTTCCAAAGCTATATCATTGTAGACTAATGTGGAAAGAATTTTAAGTGTAAATATGTAAGAATTTAAAAATTCAAGAACAAAATTATTGATAAGTTATAATTATTTTTAATTTTATGGGAGTAATTAAACTTAGGTATGTAATTAAAAACTCACTTCTGTAATCCATTCAATGCTATCTCCATATTGATCCAGAAATGATTCCCAAAGAGCTAATTTGACTGTAAAAATAATTTTTATAGAATATATTAATGTTTGTTATAAAAAAATGCATTAATTTAAGTTTTAATACAAAAATCAGCCAAAGATTGATGAATGATATCATTGACAAAGAACAGTATTTATATGGTTTTTTTGTTAATGGTTAAATTGTCATCATATAGAAATGATTCAAAAACACATAGTAAAGTTTTACATACAGAAAAATTAACAGATACTAAGAAGAAACTATTTTATGTAAAAAGAATATGATTAATTATTTTGTTAAAATTATAATTATTAAATTTATTACGAGATGGCGCCTAACGTCTCTCTCTAGAGTCAAATTGTTTGGTAATTTATTATTTATATAATTTATTATTAATATAGCTGTTATATAGCCCGATGGCATACGGCAGTGGCTGGCGACGGCATTATAATGTATCAGGTTTGCGCAGAGTTTTGTTTAAATTTACATTTATTACATTTTATTTTATGTATTATTTTTATTCTATCTTTATGTCACTTGAACAATGGACTTGTTATGTTTGCTTGCTAAATGACTATGTTCTATTATAAATACCACCTTCTTTATGACAAGTTTTTTACATTCAAAAGTGCTTGAAAAACATAATTTTGTTCGTTTTTTTTTTAAACGGTTTGATTCCAGTAAAGCATTTTTTTTTTTTTTTTGAAAATTTTCATGGATGGTTTTGTCCAAATGTTGGGGTCTTGTCCCTTGCTGGACCAGTCAACCATGCTGCCCCTAAGGCCTTCTTAGAGGTCATGGGACAGAGAGAATAAAATAATTTAATAAATTTAACTAACACATTTATAAAAATATACAGCAATTTACTCAAATTGTAAATGCCATATTTTTTTTATTATATTATTTTTTTTCCAACAGAAACAGTTAACACACAAATACATTTAAAAAGAAAAGTTCATTAAATATACTTAAATAGCTAGATACATAGTCAAACAATCGCCTTAAATACTCAGGCTATAAATCCACTAATTTTAATAATTAATACTAAGTAATTTGCTACTAGAGGTAGACATTAGGCCCTATCTCTTATCTAAATTAATAATTATAATTTATTAAATAATTGAAAATCATTTGGAAGAAAAAAGCTGACCCAAAGTGGGGTTTGAACCTGTGCAAATTACTTAGTATTAATTATTAAGATTAGCAATTTATAGTCATAGTATTAAGGCAATCATTTACATAAAATCTATACATATATATGGGGCTTTGGTTTACTTATACAGATAAAATAATCGTTAAATATATGAAATTAAAAGATTGTTGAATTTTTATTAATCATAGATGATGATGCATTTGAGACATTCTTGGTCACATCCATTATGGCAACTTCCTCTTACAGTCTCATAATTCTAGCATTTCCATACTGTAAGCTAATTTAGGACTCCTGACCTCTAATAATTCTTGGTCTAATACATTTTATTATTCTTGCATTGATGTGAATCTAAATAACACTGCATTCATTATTATCCTCTGTGCTTTTTAACCTATCATTGAGTGAGTTCCCTTGACATATATTCTATCTATGACATTTTTATTCCATATGTTGTCTTTGACTAGAATTTTATAAACTCTTTCATAATCTACTTTAGTCTTGTGAATATCATTTATCACTTATTAGATTACATATTGTGGGACTTCATATTTATACAGATATACCTTGACTTACGTCGTTTGTCAAAAATGTATATGGAAAAATAAAAATCAAGTTTAAGTCATTTTATTCGACTTTACGTCTTTCTGCCACAAATATTGAAGTCGTAATATCACTAGAAAAGCATTTAAAGCACAAAATCATATTAAAATATATATATTTACAAGTATGTACTGTATTTACAGTACGTGCATTCATAAATTTAGATTACTTTTTTCTGTACTATATTAAAAACTAAAATTTGTTTGTTTGTAAGCTTAAAATAGATCCTTATTAACCATATATTATTTAAAATGCATTAATAAATAAAATACAGAACCAGAAATGGTAATTTATGGTTTAGCCTTGTGACAAGTAGATTCAGAGAGAAGTAAATTTGACTTATGTCGTTTTTCGACTTACATCGCCTCTCCTGGAACCAATTATCGACGTAAGGCGAGGTATACCTGTACTATATTGAAATTATCCATTGTTGCTATTTTCTTTTATTTATGTAAACCATTTATTGTATGTAAATACTTTCCATTATGTATCATTAGCTTCTGTCCTGTTTTGAATATACTTCATTAAACTTATAACTTTTTCCTTATTTCTTTAACATACTCTTAATTCTTTCACTTTATGTGCAAACAATACGAGAATATTTTTATAAAGGCTGCAAAGGCCACAGTCTTCTATGGCCCCAGATTATCTAAGATCAAGGATGTACAGAATGAATGAAATGTTGCTTCTTGAAATATTCATATGGCTTTAAGGTGATGCCCATATCTAAGAAATGTACAATAGTGAAGCTAATTTGGTCAACTCTGGTTAAACTGACAAAGTCTTCTAAATCCTTACTGTGACTTCCATATATTTATATACCTTTTATTACAAACTTGGTACATGCTACTAACTATTTTAATAGAGGATGCAGCTCTTGCATATTTCTTATAGGTGACACATGGTTCCTATTGCAACACAGGTTGACCACTCTGGTATATATTGTCATTAAATTTGAAGAACAATAAATAGCAGATAACATGCACTAATTTCAATAAGATTCAATGGTATTTTGAAAGTTGAAGAACCAAAGAATAACACACTAAAAACTTACCAGATAATGCCATTCCGTTAGAAAATGTATACTTTTCTAAATCAGTAGATCCTTCTGAATTTAACAGAATTCTTCCATTAACAAGTCTTGTTTTGTTACTGAAATATTGAAGAGCATAAAATTAACAAAAAATAAATGAGTATTAATTAACTTTTACTATTAGTTTAAAAAAAATTCAATAGCACAATGTTCATTAATTATATTTAAATAAAGATTTGCTTGGAAACGACAATATACAGTTTAACCCAATTATAATGCCAATGTCAGCGGTACTTTGTGAATTAGTACTAAGAAAGCTAGAAAGTAATATCTTACCCACTTTCCAGAAAGATATAATAGTATATAACATCATCCATGGGACTGACAATTTTTTGACATTATAACCGAGTGTCATCTGTGGGGTCATAATTTCAGTCCATAAAAAGTACCAAGTGTGTTTAAGAATCTATTATAAAATCCATTCTAATTTAACATCGTATGTATTACCGTAAAATTATTTCTTACTGGTAATACAGTATACTGTATCTATTATAGTAATAATAATTTATAATAATAATAATAATAATGCAAACTAAATGTTTAAATCAACTTTATTTACATTATTATGTCTAAGTTTACATTGATGTAATTAAAAATTTAAAATAATACCTTTTATAAGAAATTTCTATTTTTCTTAAGTTTTTGATAATGGCGGTACTTCTGGTTTTGAGAATAATGTCAAATTAAAAGGCAACAAAAGGTTAAACTAAGGTATGCCAATTAAAAAAACACAACAACAACAATATACACTTTAAAACGTCAGTTATTTTAGATTGTAAGCATTTTTCACCTAAAAATTGTTTATCAATGTCATTTTCTAAATCATACACTTTGTTCATTATTTCTGATGCAATCTAACATTAAAGCTTTCCTTTCTAAGCTAGCCAATTCACCTGATTTGATGCTAAACTACAACATGTCTAACTATGCAGACTAACCGATCATCACATCATTTAAAGGAGTCACCCCACCAAAGTCAGGTGGTGAGAGTACCACCACCCATAGTCATTCTAGGAAGTGGACTGACCCTAGGAACCGAACACTTAGTATTTTCTTTGTTAAATAAAATTCATAATCTAATTTTGTAAACTTGAGTGCACTTTAAATATGACATTAAAACAGGGTTTTATGTCGTTACAAGTGGGTTTTTTAACATTATCTAGTATAATAAAATCATGGGACTGATTAAAAACTGACATTATATTAAGGTTTTCGTTACATCCGATGATGTTATAATCAGGTTAAACTGTATATATATATATATAAATTGTCGTTTCCAAGCAATTTTTAATTTCTAGTTTACTGGAGTTCAATTTTAGATTTGTATGATTGACAGAATATAGATCATGTGACAGACAAAACATTGATTCTGATTGGTTATGTGCAACATTTTTTGATGCTTATTCCTTACATATATATAAGGCACATGATCTACATTCTATCAATCATACAAGTCTAACATTGAATTCCAGCAAACTGGAAGTNGGAATGAAAAAACTTGTTACACATTGGAAGAAATGTGTTAGTCATCATTAAGGCTATGTTGAAAAATAAATATATGATTTTGAAGCTTAAGAATTGTACTTCAATGTACTTTTTGCCTGATCTTGCTATTTTTTTTTGTTCATGTTCTACAAGCATGCGTGCATTACTTTTCAGCCTGCTCTCATAAGTTCCTTAGATATATAATACATTAAAATTAAGGAAATAAATTTGACGTTACCTCCCAAATTTTAGGTTATCTAACGTAAAAATGTTATAATTTTTAAACAGTACTTCATAAAATGCTATAATTTTTTGTTTATTTTTTAAAATCAAGTCAAATATTCAGATCAAAATTAATGTAAAAAATAATAAGAGACTTTATGAAAGCTTCTAGGAGTGGAAATTGCAGCATAAAACTTGACAATAACAAAATTGAGACAGATCAGGATTTTAAGATTGGCAGAAATGATACAACACCTGAAATTAAAAAAGGATTAGCCTTTGGATAGAGTGCAAAGGTGAGCATAATTCCATTTGGAAAAGTAAAGACATCAGCATTTTAACTAAAGCCTGGTTAGTAAATGCAATTGTCTTTCCCATTGTTATGTATGGCTTAAAACATGAACAATTAAGAACATGGACAGAAGATGTAAATGTTAAGAAATAGAATTGAAATTATTGATTTTTATTTCAAAATTGTTAAAATTATAGAATATCACAAAAGAAATATATCAACATAAGGATCTTCCAAAATGAATGCTCCATTTTAATTTACTATAATTATATTAATTATTATCCGAGAAGTATGTGAGACATACCAATCATCTGAGTTTCATCTTTCATCTACATTCAAACATCCATCTACTACTACCTTTAGGAAGCCCCATAAATGAAAATAGCAACTCTGCAACAGAGAAGTAATTAAAAATTTAAAATAATACCTTTTATAAGAAATTTCTATTTTTCTTAAGTTTTTGATAATGGCGGTACTTCTGGTTTTGAGAATAATGTCAAATTAAAAGGCAACAAAAGGTTAAACTAAGGTATGCCAATTAAAAAAACACAACAACAACAATATACACTTTAAAACGTCAGTTATTTTAGATTGTAAGCATTTTTCACCTAAAAATTGTTTATCAATGTCATTTTCTAAATCATACACTTTGTTCATTATTTCTGATGCAATCTAACATTAAAGCTTTCCTTTCTAAGCTAGCCAATTCACCTGATTTGATGCTAAACTACAACATGTCTAACTATGCAGACTAACCGATCATCACATCATTTAAAGGAGTCACCCCACCAAAGTCAGGTGGTGAGAGTACCACCACCCATAGTCATTCTAGGAAGTGGACTGACCCTAGGAACCGAACACTTAGTATTTTCTTTGTTAAATAAAATTCATAATCTAATTTTGTAAACTTGAGTGCACTTTAAATATGACATTAAAACAGGGTTTTATGTCGTTACAAGTGGGTTTTTTAACATTATCTAGTATAATAAAATCATGGGACTGATTAAAAACTGACATTATATTAAGGTTTTCGTTACATCCGATGATGTTATAATCAGGTTAAACTGTATATATATATATATAAATTGTCGTTTCCAAGCAATTTTTAATTTCTAGTTTACTGGAGTTCAATTTTAGATTTGTATGATTGACAGAATATAGATCATGTGACAGACAAAACATTGATTCTGATTGGTTATGTGCAACATTTTTTGATGCTTATTCCTTACATATATATAAGGCACATGATCTACATTCTATCAATCATACAAGTCTAACATTGAATTCCAGCAAACTGGAAGTTCTGCAGTTACACCAAAGATTTAATTGACAATTCTGAAAACTTATGGTACACTTTTATTTAAAAGTTTGTCCTATTCTGCATATATTTTGATAGCAGTTGTATATTTATTAAATACTTTCCTGATTAGTTTGACATTTGTAACTGTTTTCAGGTGAAAATGATTCCTATTCTGGACAATATTAATGATGGTAATATGGTTCTGTTATATTGAGGCATAAAACTGTCACTTTAGGACAAAAAGTGCCTAAAGAATTTGCCTGCAGGGAGAAGATAAGGCTGTGGCTCCAGCAGTAGCCTACAGAGAAGGGTCTATTGTGAGAAATTACTTTGTTAAATAAGGAACCTTTTGTCATAAAGTGAACATTTTTATTGCTCGTTAAGAAGTTTTTAACAAAATTGTTAAATTAAAAGCAAAGTAAAAAAAATATACATATACAGAGGAATATACTTGCCTTCTATGGTAATCTTTGCTGACAAAATTTAGAGACATGCAGTTAATTTAGATGAGACCCAAGCCATATATAAAATAATTTAAGATAAATTAAAATTAAGCAAAATTAATGCTAATAGATACATGTTAATACAATTTGATTACAAAATTTATTTTCAAATTAAATCATTATTGTATCGATGGATTGGCCAAAAAATGAAGATGAAGAAAGAAAATTTTATTGTTTGTTTATTTATTTATTGCATATACAAAAAGAAATGTCACAAGACAATTGATATCCTCCCCCAAAAATAAGTCCCATAAGAAAGGATTATAATACAAATGAACAATTATTTATTGTAACATTATCACAATGCCAGGCTGCAATTTTTAATCATATTTTTAATTTATTTAATTTAAAATATAATTAAATATTAATAGTGATTTGCTCCTGTACATCATACTTTTCCTTTAACAACAGAGTCATGCCAATCATCTATCTAACTCTTTTCAGGGGAAAATTTTTGAATTAAAATAATGTGACTTCTGGTTTGCATTGAAAGTTTGTATATAGTTAATCGGGGCCTCCTGCCCCTAAGATTTCCATATCTGGTCTTGTCTTTCATCTATCTAACTCCATTCTCGAGATTAAGGATCCTTCCTTAATGGGCGACGGATGGATGGAATGGAAATTTATAGGTCTACAGTTTTTTTTAAATTGCAGCCCAATATAAATTAAAAGATTAAATATCATAAAGTAACCATTTACAAATGTGTTTAAAATGTAAAATGAAATATAATTATTATTTTTGGCTTATTAAATACATGCTTGGAGCATCTTACGAAACCTGATACATTATAATAAAGTTATATCAACTGCCATATAACATTGAGCTATTTATTGGCAATAATAATTACAAATTACCAATAAATTTGACTTTAGAGGGAGGCATTAAGTGCCATCTCATATTAAAATTAATAATTATAATTTAATTAAATAATTTTAGATTAAACTAGAAGAAAAATCATCCCGGAGCAGAACTCGAATTTGCAACTCCCACTTGCTATGTGGACGCATTGCCAATTATGCTACAGGACCTCCAGTCTGATCTCCTCTTCCAGTATATTTCTTCCAGTTTAATCTAAAATTTATTTATTTAAATTATAAGATATTAAGATGATATTAATTTTAATATGAGATGGCACCTAACACCTCTCTTCAAATTTTTTCAAATTTATTAATAATTTATAATTATTATCACCAATAAATAGCCTGATCTTATACAGCAGTTGATGTAGTGTTATGCTTGGAACATATAATATTAAAATAAGATGCAAAATTAGATGTAAATGTTAAGAAATAGAATTGAAATTATTGATTTTTATTTCAAAATTGTTAAAATTATAGAATATCACAAAAGAAATATATCAACATAAGGATCTTCCAAAATGAATGCTCCATTTTAATTTACTATAATTATATTAATTATTATCCGAGAAGTATGTGAGACATACCAATCATCTGAGTTTCATCTTTCATCTACATTCAAACATCCATCTACTACTACCTTTAGGAAGCCCCATAAATGAAAATAGCAACTCTGCAACAGAGAAGGTATTTTGTGTTCTGCAGTTTGCAAAGTCAGAATCACTTGTCTTTGTGCAACATGAGTAATCTGAAAGAGCTGTAGAACTGACTACCACGGGAAGAGTGATGATAGATATGCTGTAGCAAGCATAGGAAGAATTTGAGGAATGAGTCAGATGTATGCCATGTGCATACATTGAGAAACTGTAATGGACAAATGTGAAACTTGGACAGTTTTCCAAAGTTTTAATGTATGTTATGGTGTTCTCTGATAGCAATTTAAAATAGTAACATTCTATTTGGAAGACCCTGTATTTAGTCATGCACTTATAATCATAAGCAGATAATTTTAAAATTTTAATGTCAGATATGTTAAAAATGCAATTTAGAGTGAGATTCAAACTTATTCTTTCAATGTGGTGTTATGTTATCTGGACTTTGATATGAGCACCTCCAAAGTTACGTACAGGGTACTTAAAAAAAAATGATGTTAACACTAATGTGGAAGTAACTTGTTATGCTGAATTTGTAGTCAAGGTCATTCCCTGCATTGTTATTTGCCACCTGCAAGAAGTCAGGGTCCAATTGTGAACTCCACAATTTGATCCTGACTTCTTGCAGGTAGTGAATAACAATGCTCTTCCATAGAAGGGCCATACTTCAAAAAAATATGCCCTTCCACTCTACAGTGGTAACTGCAGTGGTACATTCTCCTTATAAGTACTGATATTTTTTGAAGCATCCTGTGCATCTTCATTTATAATTTTAACTCTTTAAATACATGTCTAGTGATAAACTGTTTCAATTTTTAGCATGCAAAATTCAATTTGAACATGTGATATTTTTTATAACACAGTTGCAAGAATATCTGTAATAAATTTAAAATATCCTTACTCTATTGAAAGAATTATAATTCTTTGACATAATTTTATAATATTTATTAATCACTAAAAAAATATTTTATCTCAAATAAATCAGAATATACAAATTAAACAAAGAAACTTACTCGGTATAAACATAATTCATAACTTCACTTTCTTCTAGAATCAAGTTTTCTTCATAAGAATTTGTTTCATAATTTCTCAAAAATAACATCACTTCTTGTCTCTAAATATATAAAATAACTTCTAGAAATGTATTTACAAAATAATTTTTATGCTTAAAATATATTTAGTATTTTAAGCTTGTGATTCATGTAGGCATCACAATGTCTAAATACAAAGGCAGGCTGAAAAATAATGCACACATGCTTGTAGAGCACAAATGAAATGATTTTCAGAAGCGTGCCAGGTGGCATATGGAAGTAACATTCCTCCTCTATGTGCAGGCACAGTTTGAGGTTGTTACATTCAGTCAGTATATTTTGAGAAGCGGAAATATGGAGACACGTTCTGGTGCTATGTCAACGCGAGTTAAACAGCGTGCTGTTATCAAATTTTTAACTGCTGAAAAAATTACATTTAAAGGCTGTTTATGGTGACGATGCTGTTGATAGGTCTATTATAAATTCATGGATAATAAAATTTCATGGTTGCGAGCCTGGAAAAGCCATAATTGTTGATGAAACACGCAGCGAAAGTCCGATCACTGCCACAGACAATTACCGTTGCACCTTGTTACAATGTTTAATTCTTCTCAGTACATACAGACTCTAAAACACCTCTGACATTGACTTTGACATGTTAGAGGCAGCCTGGCACCAATAATCTTGCAACGTGACAATGCTCGTCCACACACCTCGCGTGCAACTGGAGAGGCTCTGCAAAACCTGAAGTTTGAACCGATTCCACATCCTCCTTATTCCCCCAATCTTGCACCTTGCGATTTTTATTTGTTTCCTCTACTTAAGAGAAACCTCAAAGGTAATCATTACACCTCAGACAATGAGGTGAAGGCAGCTGTCAAGTCCTAGATTCGAGAAAAGTCAGAAGAATTTTTTAGTGACAGAATGAAAAAACTTGTTACACATTGGAAGAAATGTGTTAGTCATCATTAAGGCTATGTTGAAAAATAAATATATGATTTTGAAGCTTAAGAATTGTACTTTAATGTACTTTTTGCCTGATCTTGCTATTTTTTTTTTGTTCATGTTCTACAAGCATGTGTGCATTACTTTTCAGCCTGCTCTCATAAGTTCCTTAGATATATAATACATTAAAATTAAGGAGATAAATTTGACGTTACCTCCCAAATTTTAGGTTATCTAATGTAAAAATGTTATAATTTTTAAATAGTACTTCATAAAATGCTATAATTTTTTGTTTATTTTTTAAAATCAAGTCAAATATTCAGATCAAAATTAATGTGCATAATAAGAGACTTTATGAAAGCTTCTAGGAGTGGAAATTGCAGCATAAAACTTGACAATAACAAAATTGAGACAGATCAGGATTTTAAGATTGGCAGAAATGATACAACACCTGAAATTAAAAAAGGATTAGCCTTTGGATAGAGTGCAAAGGTGAGCATAATTCCATTTGGAAAAGTAAAGACATCAGCATTTTAACTAAAGCCTGGTTAGTAAATGCAATTGTCTTTCCCATTGTTATGTATGGCTGTAAAACATGAACAATTAAGAACGTGGACAGAAGGAAGATTGATACCTTTGAACTTTGGTGCTGTTGACAATTACTGTAAATCTCCTGGACAGCACAAGTTGCCAACAAAGAAGTTTTAGACTGTATCAAGCCTAAGTCCTCACTAGAAGCCAATATCAATGGTAAAAAATTGTCTTATTTTGGTTACATCATGTACAATAGCTCACTAGAAAAGCTTATTTTAATGTAAAACATCAACAGACATAGAAGAAAAGGATGTCCACAAACTCATTAGTTGGACATATCGTTGGATACTAACAAGAGCATTGGAGAACAAGGAGGATATAATTGACAGGACCAAATGAAGGAGATTGATTCATAAAATGACTAAGAACCAATCTCAATTGAACAGATGATAATTATAATGATTAATAAGAGACTTGTAATGTAACATTAAATTATTTTACAAGCATGTAAAATAAGAATGCATAAATCATGATCAAACTACACCTGAATATTAATTATGGTATTAGGTAAATTCTAGACAAACTCTTGGCTCTTGCACTTTAAACAGATACACTGTACATTTCTAATTACACTATTAAGATTTTTTTAAATAACTTATTCCATTTTATAGGCACCTAAAAGGATTTTTAATAAACTTATCATGGGTTCATCAGGCCTATAACAGAGCAACCTTTAATGACGATGAGGCTCAACTGTCTATAAAAATTTCCAAAGTTATAATTTTGATTCTATCAAGTTCCTCAGAACAAAGGATAACTTTCTGAGCTGCTTTGCCCACCTGGCTATGCTATGAATCTCCAAAATAATCTTTGTTTATAGATATATATTTAGATTTACCATGTACTATACAATAGCATTGACAAATGAAGAAACAGACTAAAAGAATCAATGTTCTGGATAATATTTCTGTTATTCTAGAATATTGAATTCTTTTACTCCGTTACTTCATTTAGTAAAATAAATATCACTGTGAAAGCTATTTTAAGTAACAATAATTATTATTTATTATCCAAATGACCCAGAACAATTTTTAAGTTAAACCCTAACTACACAAATTGTACTGGATTTATAAAAAAAAAAACTTTGAAATAATAATTTTATATTAAAAGTTTTAAACTTTATTATACCTCAATTTCAGGAACATTCCAAAATACTGCAGATCCTTCCCTGTAATAAAAGAATATTGAATTTTTTTTATTTACACAGAACTAATTATCAAGTTATCATTTAAATAAACTTTTTACAATTTGTAATCTTTTAATAGTTCATACTAAAAGCCATTTCCTAATTTTTCATTACAAGTAATAAAAAAACTTGTAGTATTATATGTAAATTAGTACATTTAAATTGAAGTTTAAGTATTTTAAATTCAGTTGAAATTATTATAAGCTTATATTAGATGCACGAGAATGTTTAAACTATGTATACCACTAAGCACCGAATAATAAAAACTGGAATATATTATTGGGAATAAATTAACACCTTCAAATTTCCAGCAAAATTTGTTTAATTAATGTACCCACTAACATTTTTGATCATCATTAAGCATGCCGTTATGTTTAAATTTTTGCATTTTGTCATTCTTGTTACTTGAATAAGTTGGATCAAGGATCCAGTGGCAAAATGGTGTTTATCATTGAATAAACTGTCTCTAGTTTCTTTATCCCCTTAGTATTTGTCTGTTAATAGAAGTAACATTATAAGAAGAGGATGTCAATGTGGTAATTTGTAATTTCATAAAAATTCATTATATTAGACTGTAATTATAATTGTAAAAGTGTTTAGTAAGTTTAGGTAACAAAGGAAATTGAGATAATATAACAGACATTCTCATTTCACTATGTACTTTGCATCACAAAATATATTGTACAGTAGCTTTTTGTTATATCATACATGTAGAGAGAGAAACCAAATGAGTGATTTAGCAGATGGCACAATATAACCAAAGGATTTATCCACTATTGGCTAAAGCACTTTTATATTTGAAAGACAAAAAATATATATATCCAAATAAATAATAGAATGAGAGGCCACTGCATATAAATCAAACTCTAATCCATACCAGTGACCACTGACACTTTAATCTATGGTAATACTGTCAATTTTAAATCTAGATATGCCATTCCAATGCTGTAGACCAGGGATGAGCAACACGTGGCCCGTTCAACATGTTTATGCGGCCCGCCAAGCATTTTTAAAATTGAATTTATTTTATCGACTTTCTCCCATCAATATATTGTTATAAAATTAATTATAATAAAATGGTAGTACAAAACTAAATTGTAGTACTAAACCTAAACAATTTTTTGTGACGAGTTACTCACTTGTCGGCGACTTGTTCAAACATGCAATACGAACGCGCCACATCTGTGCTTGTTTGTGTTTGCTTCTGTCACACAATCAGTCAGACTGGTAAGCTGTTAACTAGCAATTTTAGCAATTCTTGTGTTTCTTGAAAGGCGTCAGTGCAATATTATTGTCAAAAAGGTAATATTAGAGTTTTTTTTTATTTAAAATTAAGTTTTCCTACAAATTTTTTTAACTTTCAAATTTTTAATCCATAATAGCATGTTGGAAAAGCAAACAAAAAAACGGAAGGTTGCGGATGAGCACAGGCATTTCCAAGAAAAGTGGAAATTTGATTATTTTTTCACTTTCGTCGAAGATAAAGCTGTATGCTTAATATGCTCAGAGACTGTGTCGACATTAAAA